GATGCTGCAGATGTTGGATGCTGTAGATGTTGGATGCTGCAGATGTTGGATGCTGCAGATGCTGGATGCTGCAGATGTTGGATGCTGCAGATGCTGGATGCTGCAGATGTTGGATGCTGCAGATGTTGGATGCTGCAGATGTTGGATGCTGTAGATGTTGGATGCTGCAGATGGTGGATGCTGCAGATGTTGGATGCTGTAGATGTTGGATGCTGCAGATGTTGGATGCTGCAGATGTTGGATGCTGTCTATCATGGTGCACTAAGATTCATAACTGGCTGTAACTACCGTACCCACCACTGCACCCAGTATTCACTGGTTAACTGGTCACCATTAACACAGACTCTCCCACTGGTACATTTTCATCTTTAAATCACTTCCTGGTCTGCTGCCTTCATACATCTCCTCCTACATGTCTCTGTGTGAGTGCAGCTACAGCGTGCGCTCTCAGGACATCATTACCTGCAGTGTTCCCTCAGTGAGGACTGAACTAGGCAAAAGGACCTTCTCCTACTCCGCTCCTGTTTCCTGGAACATCTTGTAAAAAGATCTGAAGCTCTCGACCTTTGACCTCTCTAAGTGTCTTCAAACATCTGCTAAGTTTATGCAGACATGTTGTTAGTTTTCTATATTCACCTTAGAATCTAACTGTTTTTGTTACTTTCCTTTTTCTTTTTTTAGCCATCCTATTTGTTAAAAAAAAAAAATTGTATGACTTTTTATAACTGTTTATTGTTGTCTTGTTGTCCATTGTTGTCATCTTTCTTTGTTAAATCAGGTCTCTCTTGTAAATGAGTCCTGGAGGCTCAATGGGATTTACCTGTAGAAATAAAGGTTGAATGAAACAGTGTCAGATAGGGTGATGTGTCTGAAGGTAGAAATAGAGGGTCTGATGCTCTTTCATTCAACCTTTATTTAAACCGGTTAACCCCATTGAGCCTCAGGGACTCATTAATTCAATTCAAAAATACTTTATTAATTCCAGAGGGAAATTATTTGTTGTTGCAACTCGTTATCCTCATTTCATTCAGAGATGTTATAGATGCTGTAGACAGGAAGGATCTCTTGTAAAGGTCCATCCCACAGTGGATCCTAAGAAACTGGCTGCAGATGCTGTCTGATCCGTCCACCCAGACTCAGCTGGCCTCTCGGTTCTCCCGGGCTGTAGGACCGCCTGAATGCAGAGCAGAACTCCTCCCAGAGCGATGGCCACTCCTCCCAGCAGTCTGCCGAGCTCCTCGTCGCTGTGGACAGCCAAGTGTAGGCAACTGTTAACAAGAGAGACCTGAATTTTTTAAGAGTGGTGACAACAGTGGACAACAACAGTCAGTCATAAATGATGCATACAAATTGAGAATATCAAGTGAAAATAAAATGGTATTAAAAATGTAAAAAAAAAAAAAACAGCTAGGTTGTAAGTCAATGTAGAAAACTTTAGAAGGTCTGATGCCAAACATCGTCAGTGGTTATGCTCCACAGGTTGGATGTGATGTGGAGAAAGAATGGAAATGGCTGTAGTCAGCACTTATTTCCAAAAGAGGGAGGAGCATAGAGTGACCTATAAGAGTGGAGGAAGGAGTACGCAGGTCGACTACATTCTGTGTAGAAGAGGAAACCTGAGGGAGATTGGAGACTGTAAGGTTGTGGCAGGGGAGAGCGTGACCAGACAGCATCAGATGGTTGTGTGTAGAATGACTGTTGTTGTGAAGAAGAGTAAAATAAGAGAAGAAGACCAAATGGTGGAAGATGAAGAAGGAAGAATGTTGTGATAAGTTCAGAGAGGAGCTGTTAAAGGCTCTGGGTGGTAAGAAAGAGCTTCCAGATGACTGGACTGCTACAGCAACAGTACAGTATTTTTCACCCTATAAGCCATGTTTTTTTTGTTGTTGCATAATTTACATGTCCTGCAACTTATAGGCCGAAGCAACATAATTATGGATTTTTTCCATATTTATAAACCAGTTTTCGGCTGAGATGTGGCCATTTTAATTCATTGACTGAAAATTTGGAACACTACCATTTTCAGCCGCTAGATGGCACTCAAGTAGTGAGGCATGCCGTTTTGTCATGTAGTAGGTAAAAGTGGCTATTAATGACACAATTGGCTTTCTAAAGCTTGCCACCTTCGTCCATCTCACCTGGAGCAACCCAATAAACAACAAACACTTCCTGTCACAACGTCCTGCGAGCGAGACCACAGATTTCTGAAGAGGAAGACGACGACGACGATGATGCCATAAGTCTTTTATTTTGTTAACTTGGTCATTTCAATATAAAGGCATGTGAGTGATTTAAAGATGAATAAAGTTACAGCTGAGAACAGGAGGAAGAGGATGATGGTGGTGATGAAGATGGACTCCTTGGGTTCTGCCGGGTCCGATCCCTGTACTCCGGCAGGTGATGAAGGATCCAGGCTGCAGGAGTCAACATGGCGGTGGCGAACACAAACAGCACGAAGATGCTTTCCTGAAACAAAGGAAGTCCATCAGAACCATCAGTCACACTGAACGGGTCGCAGGGAGTTCTGCTCAGCAGGACCATGTCTGGACCTTACTCACCATGGCTCCGACTGGGTTTCGTGGAGGTTTGCTGTAGATCTTCCTGTTCATGTTCTGACGAGTCCAACATGAAGCGTTTCCCATCATCTTCATCTTCATCATCCTCATTGCCATGGTTACTGACAGCTGCTCACAAGGTCTGATGTGCTTTGATGGGCTGAAGTTCAGCTCCTCTTGGGTCCGTGTGGAGCTCTGAGGAGCTGCAGGGAGACTGAGGACGAGGTGTGCTGCAGGAGGAGGCTGGAGGGGGAGGAACCTGGAGACAAGGTCTGCTAGAAGAGGAGGAGGCTGATGAAGGGCAGACTGACCGTTCCTCTTCATGGTGATGATGATGAAGCGTGCTGCTGGTCTGCAGCTCTAACAGCCGATTACGTGTCTGGTCCAGAACCAGCAGGATGTGTTTGATGTTCCGGTCCAGAACCAGCCAGATGTGTTTGATGTGCCTCTGCTCTGTGTCAGAAGCACATCAGAGACACGTGGATGACGGGAAACTTCCAGCTGCAGCTAACCTGATGAGCAGCTTCAACAGGAAGTGACATCATCTACAAAAACATTCACGTCTTGGTTGGTGATGGTCCTCCTCAGAACTCTGTTCTGGACCTGATCATACAGAAACTCAACGAGAGGACAAAGGATGAAAGAAAGTCCCTTCAGCATGAAACCAGCTCAGACCCAAACCAGGACCTCAACACCTTCAGCTGATCCTGAGGTTTTCAGCTGATCCTGCAGTTTTCAGCTGTTCTTGCAGTTTTCAGCTGTTCTTGCAGTTTTCAGCTGTTCTTGCAGTTTTCAGCTGTTCTTGCAGTTTTCAGCTGATCCTGCAGTTTTCAGCTGATCCTGCAGTTTTCAGCTGATCTTGCAGTTTTCAGCTGATCTTGCAGTTTTCAGCTGATGCTGCAGTTTTCAGCTGAGCTGTTTCTGAATCGCCTTAGTGGAGGAAAAATCTTTCTTGTGCTCAAAGTGCTCGTCTCTGTGACGGACTGCTGGAACAGAGCCTGAAGATCCAACCTTCTGGTTCTGGACCAAGCGGGCTGCAGTTTGGGTCAACTGTGGTTCCACATTTATCCACAGCAGCCTGTGAATCTCTGCAGTTCGTGTTTCTGCTCACACTCTCCAACAAACAACGCAGAGTTCAGAAACAAACATGGCTGCAGTTTTATTCTCGTTACAAACACACACATCAGGAGCAGTAGAACGGGCCGGCGTCGACCCGACGCCGTTTACGACTCTGTTGTTCGAAGAAGTGACGGATATCCTCAGAGGTCACCACCTGCCGGAGAGTCATATGACATCACAGGTCAGCTGACTGATGGAGGTTCATGCCCATCAAGTTACAGGTACACTGTGACATCATCATTGAGGTAAAGATCACCTGTACTCGGCTCCAGGCCACACCCCTCTAACTTTTACTCAGGCGGAGGATCAAACTCACCTTTCCTTCCGCTGCAAATGTCTGCAGGAAGTCCTTCAGCTCCGTCTTCATGTCGTTGTAGCCTGAAAGAGACGAATGATAAATGGACAGTACCTATACAGCTCCTTTAGATATGATCCACAAACTCAAATATATACGTATATATATATACACATACACACACATATATACATACACACATTATATATATATATACATACATACATACATACATATGTATGTATACATCCATATGTATGTATACATATACATATACATACGTATATATACATATACATACGTATATATACATATACATATATATACATATACATACATATATATACATATACATACACATATATACATATACATACACATATACACATATATATATACACATATACATACATATATATATACATATACATACATACATATATATACATATACATATACATACATATATACATATGCATACATATATACATGTTTATATATACATACATATATATATATACACATATACATACATACATACATATATATACACATATACACACATATACATACATACATATATATACACATATGCATACATATACATACATACATATCCATCCATCCATCCATTTTCTTTACCCGTTTATTCCATTTTGGGTCACGGGGGTCGCTGGTGCCCATGTCCAGCAATCACTGTGCGAGGGGCGGGGGACACCCTGGACAGGTCGCAAGTCCATCACAGGGCCACATAGAGACAAACGAGACAAACAACCATTCACTCTCTCACTCACACCTAGGGACAATTTAGAGTTACCAATCAGCCTAACATGCATGTTTTTGGTCTGTGGGAGGAAACCGGAGTACCCGGAGAAAACCCACGCATGCACGGAGAGAACATGCAAACTCCACCCAGAAGGCCCCTGGACCGGGGTTTGAACCAGGGACCTGTTCGCTGAGAGGCAGCAGCTCTACCAGTTGCGCCACCGTGCTGCCCT